TGGGTGTAAGTGGACAGACTGGGAGGATAATAGCCAGGGACATGTCACATAAGGAAGTAGATTTGGACTAGAAGAAGAAATGGGCCCAGCAGGGGGATCACTTAGGGAAGACAGACCCAAGACAGACAAGGAAGAAATCCAGGAAGAGGAAGTGTATATAGTTAGAAGGAATTGCCTATGTGAGTCCCTTCTGAAACAAGGCGGCCATCTTGGGTGAGTTGGCCCTGTGAGGCCCTGCTTTTGTTTATATTCTTTATGACTGTAGGACTGTTTAGTATTTCGAGTGGGTATTTAGTTGACTTTGGTTGGGGTTTAGGCATTTTGTCCTGTGTTTGGATCAGTTTTGTTTGCTAAATCTGCTCTACCTCCAGCACTCTTTATACTTTTTTTTTACCCCCAACCCGGACGAGGGTTTGCATCCCCACTTGTTTTACTGGTAAAAACGGTTGGAGGGTGGGGTTGTTGATGGTTTTAGTGGTGGAAAAGCATCAGATTTAACAAGCTTTAATAGCTGGCATTTGAGCAGTGACTCTGATTGGCTGAAGATTTAGCCTATTGGAGAAGACCTGGGCCCAACTTGACAAAACGCTGGTGAAAGGAGGTTCCCACCTGATGACATAACTGACCATAACTTGGTCACAACTGCTTACTGGTCTGAATAGGAATCATAGTTTAATGTTGAATTAAGGGAAATATAAAAATATTCATTTATTTGCTATATAACTTTCTTGTGTTTACTCTGCATTCCATCATGATTTTTTTAATCTTCTTGAACGATAGATGGGAGATCTCCACAACATTTTTTTTTACTCTCCATTTAAACTCTGTAAAGAACTTGGATTCCGAGTGGTCCTGCAACATATTTGCTGACACTGGTACAGAAAACTTTCTCAACTTTGCATTTAATTTTTTTATCCGCTACCATGTTATTTCAAATCACGCAGCTTGAAATTGGAAGACTTGTCATGTACTTCCTTTGCTCCCCATTGGGCTCATGGTAGTACTTGTCAAACTTGGCATAAGTATGTCAAACCACGTCTTTTTTTTTTCTTTTTTTTCCGATGCAGCGTCAAAACACTTTTTGAACCTTGAAGCTTTGGCATGAAAGGAGACAGCTACTCGGTTCAGCGAAGATTTTAGTCGTAAAGCCCCTTGCAGAGTGATGCGATTGTGCTCTTTCTGCGCTGTAGTTGAGCAATAAAGTTTCCGTGAGTCACTGATCCCACTGGGATCCGGGTTAAATCTGGCTTCTACTCCAGAACAAAACAAGGCTCCTGCATGAGTTTAGCACTCTTTCACCTTTCAAATAAAGCTTTTTATTTTTTATTCCAGCTGTGATTTATGACTTATTTTGAGGCCTCATTTATTTTGTCTCCACTGATCATCAAGTTGCTGACTGAGAATTTTCTGTTTCCACACAAAACACAGAAAAGAGAAATATCTTAACTGTTATTTCCTAATCCTTAGGCATAAAGCATCTGATACAAGAAAATCCAATTAAAGGGTTGTTTCCTATTTTCCTTTTCCCCCATAGAATGATAAATCAGTCACTCTCATTTCCTAGGGTTGTGTTACCATTTGGAACTACAGAACAACATGGCAGGAAAACAGTGTAAAGACACTCATAATCTTTTATTATTGATCCATATTGTCCATTTCAATTCATAGAAACTCTCTGGAGGGTTTTTTTCAGGAGTTACAGTGTTAAGCATTTGGCTTTTAATCTTATATACAAATGTATTCATAAATAGCTGGACTGTGAAAACTTTTTTTCAAAATATGGTTCTATATACTACCACAATGAATAAGAAATTAAATGACTAAAATGCAGTTAAAGTGAAAACTTTTCTTAGCTTTATGTCAGTGGGTTGAACAAAAAGATTACATTAAAATGTGAGGAGCTAACACAGTTTCTTACTAACTAATAGAATGTCAATTAAATGTCATATTGTTTTTGGTGTTTTCATTTTTTGTAGTTGTTCTGAATATTCATTGTAAATATTTTTCCAATCGGAGACAAATCAACCAGAAAAATTTAAATGAAACATTCACAAAACTTGCCTGAAGGCGAGTTTCTCTGCCATAAGTAAATACTAGGAAGTTTGAACGTGTACATTTTTATCAGCTTGACAGCAAGTGCGGAAAATTCAGCTCTTAATAATCTCCCACAAGTGTCTTAAAGTGATGAGTACGCTTTTAAGATACAATGGACTTGATGAAATAGATGGTGAGCAACTTTGATAATAGTGAAGCCACAAAAGGCTGAAATGTCACAGAACGAACAAGCACCGCAGTAGAATGAAGTTTAAATTAATTTAGGTAGAGTATGAATCTTCAAGGATAATTAAATTAAGATGATTAAATCCATTACATTTTTGGCTACCCTGCTAACCCGATCTGCCATTTGTTGTGCACAATTTCAAATTCACAAAGTTCTTTCTGTGAATTTTTGTGCTTCCAGTTAATAGGAGGGATTTTGGCAATTCAGTAGGTTACTATGGCTTTAGATAGACAGAAAACAGTGGCCTGAACATTAGCAGTGGACATAAGAAATATAAGCAGGGATCTGGTGAGGATGTGTGTGACAGGCGGGTGCCAAAAGCTTTTGCTAAAAGTGTCTCAAAATAGGAAAAGCAATCCATATATCCAGTGAACCCTGAAAGATCCGCCACTTTCTGCGGATTTCAATCTAAAATGTCAAGACTTCAGTCAATACCATGAAATTGATTCTCAGCTCTTCTTAGAAACCGTCTCAGTCTCTGTCAGGTTACGACTTGACAAACTGAAGTTTCTTAAGACGAAGACGCATTTGTGTTTAGCTTTTATTTACGTGAAATACCATTCCACGGACAGAGAGATCACTTCGTACAGTACAATGAAAATAAAACATTCAATAGACTATCAACACATTTGTACAGCTTTTTTTCCATCTGTACCAGAAAAAATAAATATAGTTCTGTATGTCTGTGCCGGTGACAGATGACAAACACAGTTTCCCATTTTTGTGTGCAAGGCTGAATTGTCCCAAATAATAAGGCAACTGCAAAATATTATTATATATTATTGTATCCCCATGCCCAATGGTGATTTTCATTTGTCATCAGTTTATATCCGATTTGATCACATAAACAGATACATCTCCAGAGTGGTTCTTCGTGTCACAAACAGTTGAACAGACGTGGAGGTGAGTTTTTTGTGCCGCAGCACATCTTAAAGTGCAAAATGGAAACAAAGGTACGCATTAAGAAATGGTCATTATTATCATTTCACTTTTTTCTGGGTGTGTTCTCCACAAGGTGCATCAGATAATCCTCCTATCCTGGATCTGGGAACTAGTATAATATAATTTAATTGCCTCCTTTGATGCAGATTTTGGAAGTTACCAATGTCTAATAAGTCAGTAAATTAGTTTTTTTTTTCTTTTTGTTTCACAGCATCTTGATATTAAGGAGTCTTTTTTTCATTCTCTTAAACATCAATATATTTTTTTCTTAATCTGGATCCAATCTCCTAAAATGAAATCTTTCCAAATAAAGGAAAAATTACACAAAGAATGTCTATTTAAGAGTTAAGGAGTTTTCTTTGGTTCTTTTAAGTCAGTTTTTACACATTATCTGATGACTAAACTCACTTCTACTGTATGTTTCCGTAGCTTTGGTAGTTAGAATAAGCACAGTAAACATCGATTGTGACAGACGTCAATCAGATGCATGCACATGAATCCAATTATATTTAGAGGGTTCCTCACAGACATTCAAATGTTATTGCAGTGGTTTACACCATTTGGCCCCTTTCAAACTGAATTGTGTCTTCCCTCTTATTTGCAGAGTTATAGAAAGTCATCTGGTGTCAACAATTGGTAGGTCCATCAACAGTTAGATTTGTCTTACCAAAGCATAGTTTTTTTACATACAGTTACATGAACATATTTAGAGGGGGGAAATAAGAACAGTACATTCCTTTATTTCATTTCTGCATCCCTACTATCAAACAGATCAGCTTTAATGCATATTCTTTAAAATGGTTGATGGATCAGATCGGAACTGATCTTGAAGACATTTGCTTAGAGATGATCATCCAAATTTTAGCAATCCTGAAGAAAATGACAATTTTTTTGATTACGTCCTACTGCAGCCCTTCTTTTCCATGCGGTTGTCTAAGTTTTATGATGACTGCTCACGCTCTCACAGTTGTCGTTAAACGGTCGAAGACGTTTTCTGTTACACGGTCATGGTTACTACGTTGACGAGGACTAGCACGAATGTGTAGAGAGGAACAGCTTGAACCCATGCACGTCATGCATAGATGGCGGTCGTCCCCCGACTTCTGCAGAGCAGAAAGAGTTTAGAGCACGTCCAGTCACTCCCGAAGCCAGTTACTGTCCATTCACGTCTCCGCTTTGCTTCTCCTGAGAACTGTTAACCTCCTTCACCCCACTCCATCCTGCACAGACTCAATACTCCCAGACTGCGAATGAAACTGCAAACCCCTCCCTATCATCTCCTGTTTCATACGAGGCCATTGTTTTTTCCCCCAAGTGGATTTCGAGCAAATGTTGCTCGCAATGCTTTAAGACCTCAGTAATGCTTTTCCTCCTGTGCTGTTTTTACAATAACCACACGGTAAACTGGATAAAAATACTCAACTGGACGGTTACTATACTTCTCTCTATAGCTGCCACCATACTGTTTGCAACACTGCTCAATGCACATATCTAATGGATAATCTAGGTTGTCGTTTTGTTTTTTTTTCCTCTACGAAGATTGATATGTATAGTTAGCTGTCCACTATAAACACACAGCCGTGTCTCTATGGGAGGGATCCAGTTGTCTTTGAAACTGTCCGTCTGTTTCATTCACCTAGTCCAACTCACATGCACATTTTTGCATCCTTTTTGGCTCCAATTCCTCCACAGTCAGCGTTTTTTT